GCAACATTTGGTCATTTCTTTCGATTACTCCGGTCAAGATACTGGTAGTGACCGTGTTTACAGGCAAGTTACCAGTTCGCAACACTAACGGTGCCCTGATTTAAGCAAAAGTGTCACGTTTAATGATTAGCTGTCACCGTTCACATGGCAGTTGGATTTGAATGCACGTAAACGGGGTTACAAGGGCTAAATTTACTCAAAAATGGTCGTGAATAGTTGTCACTTAGCAAAGCACCTGTATGCAGCATGGAAGACCTCAACTTGTGTTTTATTTCTGTTTCAATCATGATCGTCTTGTTGAAGGAAGGCGTAAAATAAACAGCTCAAACATCTCTGTACGCTTAAAGTGTGCGACATTCTTGTCTGGACTTTAGTGTACATTTGTCAGTGGAAGACCACTAAACTAATTTGGCATTAAAGCTAGTTAGCATGATTTTTTGTGGCAAAGCTTATGCAATAAACAATGGGAGGAGGAATTTTTGCATAAATTGCATGCATTAGTAATACAAACAAGTTTACATGGAATGTTTGAAGACCATCTATGCTACTAGCAATATATATATATACATAGGTCAAGGCCAAGTATTGATCAGCTATTGACGAAAGTCACTCCGGTAGTTGCTCAGGATGCGACCGGTTCAGATTGATCGGCTGCCTTGAGCGCCGTTCATGATCGACTAGAATGATGACATTCGTGTTGGCAACCCGTCCACATACATAAATAATGACAAAATTTAGAAGGTTTCGATATGCTTGAGGTGCCTCTTACATCCTAATCAGTCTAAAAAAACTTCTCAGCGATATTTACAAAGGAAAATCTAGAGGGTGTAGCAGTTGATTGGATCAGGGTTCCTCAGATCATAGGCAGTATACTTTACCAGCAATTTAGAAGGCTTTTGCTGCCGTTAGTAAGAAAATTTTTAGTGAAAATGAACATGAGAAATTCATCGAACAAGACCATCAAAAAGAGAACACGCAGAGATGTTTTTACAATTTTTCAGCTACATTAGATTTGTCTTTTATTGCATGTGTTACCCTGTCTAAATAGAATTCAATCTGAATAAACATTCCCAGTTATCCAAATCCCACAAAACATGCATTTACTCAAGGACACACTTTGCCGATGAAAACGGCTAATGGCATAGCTACTTAACCTGACATTTCGGTGGGGCTAGAGATGACAGTCATTTTGGAAGCGATCATGTCATGGGCATATTTATGCATGGCTCTAAAGACTGCAACTCGATTCGGAATGTAAACTAACAATATAAATGATGACGAGCAGGTAAAAGTGAACACACCAGATGGACTTTGCCGACGTGATCGATTTATGTAAAACACTCACATGATTCTTACTTTCCATCCCCTTGATCCGACACATTTGTAGCACCCGGCGATTGAGATAAGATGCAACTCTGAGTAGTGATACTTCGGATAATAACACCCAGAAATCAAATTTCTAGACCTTTTAGGTGCATTTGGGTGGATCCGCAGTATGCCCTTCGCCGGTTAGTTAACCAATGCCATCTATCGGAAAGGTAGCAAAACCTTCATTCTTCTATCTTCCATAACAATCCATTAAAGCGCACCTACGCCAGCTCTCTTCATTCTTTAGGTTGATTGGTAGCGATATAGTATATGTTCACAGCGTCAAAAGCAAGGTGAATGTTTCGGTATTTCTTTGATTCTAGTTTGTGTGTTCGCAGTTGACCGAAATGTGACCGTCTTTCTCCCTAAATTGTGCCAGCTGTGCAAATCTCGAGAGGATACAGAGTACCATGACTGTTACGCATGTCTAGGCTGTAAGAAGAAACTGCTTCCAAGAAGAACAGAAAAGCTTTTCCCCTGGGGCAAGGCATCATGCCTCATAAGACCTTGTAGCAGCAAATGTGGGGTTTGGTCAACGAGAGTACTATGGTTCGGAGCTGAGCGACATCTAATTTGCTTGGCATAAAGTGTGTTTGTTACTCGAACAGGACTAACACATCATTGGACGCTTAAATTAAGTGGCTGGCTATAAACAAAGTGGAATCCAGGCGATGTCTTTGGGTAGTTGCTGAACTACAACTCATCATGGCCGACTCAAGTGAAGAAAGCAAAGGCGGCAATCGCAAAGAACTATTGCCTGAAGCGGGATTAAGTGGTGCATTTGCTGCGTCTGAAGGAGGAAAAATTCCTTTATGCCTTTTTTCGGCCGCAAACCAGGCTATGCACTCGGTCTTGCTGGCCATTTCTCAGAATGTGCCCAAAATATGCCCTACATATCTCAACAGTGAGAGGGAAGACTTCTCGTCCATTTGCATAGGAGGTGCGGATTTTGAGCTTACAAATTATACGATTGCACCACAATGTGATATGGAGGGCAATGAAGCCTAATGAAATAGGGATGATGGCCACCAAGGATGGCATGTTAATAATTTCGAGATTTTTTCTTTTAGTCTTCTTCCCAATTATCTGGTCGGTCAACACTCACCCACTTCGCGGATTGATTAATGTG